TGTTTCAGGGGCTTCTTTTGAACATCTTGTTTTCCTTCCAAAGGTCAAAGGAAAGGCAGTGAGTAGACTCCAGGATTCCTCCTGTCTATAAACGATTTTAAGATGGGAGAGGGTGCTAATTTTTTCAGAACTCACTACCCACTTAGATGTTTCCTTCCTGTTTTGTTGAGCTTAACCACCTGGAGCATTAGGGGCCAGTCTTCAAGTCTCTCTGCAAACTAAGTTTCCTTATTTGACTCTAGATCATTTGGAATTTGCCACTTTCTTCTGGGTGGCTGATGTTGAAGGGGAGGCATTTCCCTTACAGTTGAGGTGTTAGATCAAGGTGCAGCCTATACTCCCAACCTTGATCCCTCCTCAGGAACCCCAACACTAAAGCAGAGGGTAGGTCAGTTTGGTAAAGATGCAGCATCACCTTCCAGGGGAAATGAGCCCAGCTTCCCAAGGGGTCCAGATTTTACCAGGATGAAGACAGTGGGGGGAGTGGGCTGTGAGGCTGGCCCTGGAGAATGCCACCCGAGGTGGATGGGCCTACAGAGGACTTAGGAGTGGAGTTTACTGGCGCAAGCACATCCACCCCTCCACCTTTGCTCCTAAGCGGCAGGAGAATCCAGGTCAGGGGTGCTTTCTGCCAGATACTTGCTCACCGGGATATCCTGGTCCTCCCAGGCAGGTTCTGGAACTAAGCTCAAGACCAGCATCTGTCCCTGAGGTCCAGAGAGGAGGGCATAGCCAGCAGTTACCACGGCCCCCATATCCACGAGCTTCGGCTGGACACAGGCGCTTCTCCCGCTATCGCTAGCGGCGGAGAGCCAACCTGGCATGAATACATGCCACCCTCCCCAGCCCGGCCTCCACGGGCACCAGCCCACCGACCAGCCCTGCAGGAGGACGTGGCCAAGAGCCTGGTGCATATGAGTGTGTGTACCCCCAGACCCACAGGCCTCCAGACCTCTTCCAGTCCTGCGGAGCTGTGTTTAACCCCTTCCTTCTGGGGTTATTCTCTTAGCAGTGGTTCCTGACCCCAGCCTCTCTGCCTGGCTCGAAGGTAAGCGAAGAGGGCAACCTCAGTGCCCGCTGCCCGCCCACACCCACGCGCCCGCTCCCCTTCCTTTTGGTCTTTGTCTGCGTGCCCGGCGCCGGCCGACCACGGCTCTCAGCCGGGAAGGAGGCACAGGCCATGTGTGTGCGGCTTGGCTCAAGACCCTGGAGCGGGGCTGCGCAGCAGCTCGATTTCGCGGGGGTCGCGATTTCGCTCTCTGAAACTGTCGGGCGTCGCTCCCCAGCGAGAGTCTGAGCAAAATCCTGTCTCACGTCGCTTTCGTTATTTCCTTCTGTCCCCAAGTCCACCTAGAGAAGCGAGGGGAGCGCACAACAGTACACACAAGGCCCGGGACCATCACCCTCCTCTGGCTTCGTTTCAAGAAAACGTGGGAGGCTGGATCGGGCATGGGCACCCAGCGTCTCTAGGAGCGCTTTGGCCACCGCAGTCGCGCTGCCCGGGTCCATGCGCAGCAGGAGCGCCGGTACAGTGTAGTCCTCCCTCCGGAGTGGACGCCAGTGGTCCCCTTTGTGCCCTCCAGGGCCCCTTTGTGCAGCCGGCCTCGGGAACATGGAGGACAGTTCTGTGTAAGCGGGTGCTTCTCGAGCACCTCTTGGTCCCCGCGAAAGTGGAAGGGAAACGGGGACCCAGGCCCAGGGCCTCCGGATATGCTGGGAGAGAAGCCAGCTTCCGGTGGCTGCGGGCTCTGAGGAGCCCCAGGCTCTGGCCACGCGGGCTCGAGAAGCCTAGGCGTGCGTGCGGGTTGCCAGGGCGGAGCCGCGGGCCAAGCAGCAGCCAGGGTGATATCCAGATTCCACCACCAGGCTGACGAGAGACGCTGACCACCGCCTTCCGTGTGCCCCAGAAAGCCCAGGCAGGCTTTGTCCAGATGGGGCAGAGGCGAACCAGGGCCTCCACGAGGCGCTTCCTTAACTGGGACTCCCCAGCCTCGCTCGGGGCAGTGTAACTTTCTGCAGCTTTGTCCGAGCTTAGCCCACCCTCCTCCTGGGCCCTCTTGAGGGTGCCCACCCTTCACTTGATCGTAGCCAAAAGGCCAAGAAGCAGTAGAGGGTGCCCACCCTTGAGAGCCACTCTTCTTCCTCAGAGGTATTTTCGTTTCTGGCTCCCCTTTGGGTGGCCCTACGTTTTCCTCTATTTCTCTCCTCCTTCCCTGTTCCTTCCCCTTTCCCCTCCACCTTCCACACCTCTTTTTGGAGCAACTTAGGAGCTCCCCTTCTTCCTGTCACACAGCCTGACAGTGCAAACACCCAGCAAGATGGAGGCCCACACACAGGCCAGTCTGCCTGCAGACAGCTGCTAGTAGGAGTGCAGGTTGCAGCCCTGGGGTGGGGTCTGGCTCTGGGTACCTGAGGCTCAGGAAGTCCGAGGCCAAGGGTCTCGAGAAGTTAGAGAATCCTTGTCAGCACACAGGACCTAATTAGTTTTCACTGGGTGGCTGTGCAGGGAGCTCACACCCTTGGGTCCACCCTCTGCCTCTCCACACTCAGGAGACAGAAAGAGACTGGGCCATCCTTCCTGGGCTATGGTGACGAGGGTCCCCAGAGTTGTAAGCAATTTCCCCCCAAAACTCTAAGCCAGTGTTTACAAGATGTTCCCTCAGCAGTTCCATTTTCCTATAGGCAAGTGGACTTTGGGGTGCTTATTTGAGACCCAGGGAGGATCCCCACCAAGTATGTGCCTAGCAAAAAAAAAAAAAATAGAGTGAAGACACCTCCTGTGGATGAGTGGTGGGAGGAAGAAGGGAGGGGACCAGGAGTGACTGGCAGCTTCCCCACCCTGCTCAGACTCAGGACCCCTGTGTATCTCCAGTGCTTCCCCACACCCAGATCACAGGCCACGTTCAGTGCTGAGGACTAAGCCCAGCACCCCTGCTCCCACGTACTCCAGTTAACTTCTCCCGGAACAGCACTTTGGGAACTGTAGCTTCTCACCCACTGCTGCCAGCACACTGGAGCCAGCTGTGTGGACAGAGCCTGTGCAGAGTGAGGACAGGCAACAAGTGTGGAAACAGGCTGGGCCACCCCCGAAAGCCTGGAGAGGAGATGGCCCTGCAGGTCTTGATGCGGTGGCGCTGGTCCCAGACCCTGGCCCTGGGCTCAGACTCTGAGCCTAGCAGCTCCCTGCTGGCTGCCTGAGACTGGAACTCAGCTGAGTGGGCCTTGGGGCAGGGCACCCCCAGCAGCCTGGGGGACCAGATGGAGTGGGCTGGGGGCTCCTTCTGCCAGGCAGTCTCTGCACCAAGGATGCTTGCATGGCACCAGCACTCCTTTGACTCAGAGCTACAGTCCTGGCTGATCCTCGGAGTTCACACATTTCCATAAAATGGGGTTTAAAGGGTGGAGGGGCAAGCTTGGGGTGCAAGGGCACTGGGTGCAGAGAGGTGAGCAAAAGGGAAGGAGCTGGTACGCAGGCGGAAGAGGGAACTGGACATTCTGACAGCAGCTATGGCCGGGAGTTCGGAAGGGGGTAAAGAAAAGAGAGAGGGGGAAACGAATGGGCCCCCACCCTGTAAGCAGGACGTGCTGCTTTCTAATCAACCTGGCTTGCCTACAAAACTAGTTTAAATGATTTCAAGGTTCCACTGAGATGAGCAGCCCGGCAGCTTCTGGATTAGGGTAGTTACGGGGTGGGGGTCAGGAGACTGGGCCGAATTGCGGGATAACGCCTCTACGGGGTATTTTCATCCCAACGGTTTTGCACATTTGGTTGAAAAATCAGCCCTGCTCTCCTTTCCAAAACAGATTTAGTTACCCTCACCCCCGTTTTCCTTAATTTCTCCTTCCGAAAAGGGCTCCCAAAACTGCATCCCCGCGCTGCTTTGGATCTGCGCCTGTTTCCCGAAGCTCCGCGTCCGAGGTGGCATCCTCTCGGGTGCACGCGCCTCCCTGCACACGCACACGCGCGCACACCTAGCATAAGTGCCTGCAGGAGGAGTGTCCTGCGCATCCGCTCTGCGTGCGAGACAGGACGCCGCCGGGTAACCAAAGTCAAATGTAAGTGACAATTTTCCTCTCCACCGCCAAGGAAAGGGGACTACAAAAGTCCCTTTGTATTTCGGCAGCTCATTTAATATTATTTATGCATTTGTGCAAGGAATTGTGGGATTTCTCCCCACGGTAAACAATATGGAAATGTTAAAAATAGCGGTCTTGCAGCTCTCGTCCACGTAGGCGCACCAGGGTGACCTGGCAGGGCTGCCGCAGGGTTCTTCGGATCCCTAAGCCGAGCAGACACGGCAAGCGCAGAGGATTGGGTCAGAGGCTCGCCGGGTGGAGAGCTCCCGCTCGGAGCCGGGAGCGCGGCCACTTTAAGGGGGGGAGGGGCGGCGGCGGCGGGGGAGGGGCGGCGGGTGGCTCCTGTCACCCAGCGGCCGCCGGCGCGTCACGTGGGCGCGCGGCGCAGCGGCCATTGGCCCGAGGCACGTGTCCAGGAGACCGGTCCGCGACGTCACTCGAGGTGGCTCTATTAAAAATAAGAACAAAAATCCAGAGTGAAAGTGTCTCAGGTTGCGCTAAGTGGCCTGAAAATTTCCCGACCGCGCGGAGGCCGAGGCGGTGAGAGCGCGCGGACGGCGAGGGAGCGCGGGAGGCCCAGCGCGCCCGGCCCGGCCCGGCCCGGCCCGCGC